TCCCCCGCTGGCGCGTGGCCCCTCTGAGCTGCCTCCGAGCTGTTATTAACGCTGAGCGGGAGGTGGTATTTATACCCGGCGGTGGAGGAAGAGAAGGAAGGGAAAACACCCAAACAACATAATTGCTTAAGAAGTGTGGGAACAGACCACGAGAGCTATTTGGAGCGAGGGTATCGGCGCTGAAACGTGTAGGTAAGGAGCAAACAGATTTTCATGCTATATTTATCTTCAAAGTACGGTCAGGCTCTTCCCACTTGTCTCTGATGGGAGAGAGACTTTGCCGGCAGATAGGAGACACGCTCTGCTCCTGGCTCACGTGGGGATAATTCCCGACGCCTGCGTTGGATCCCGATTCACGGAGGAGGACGCACTGGGTGCTGGGTGCCGTTCAGCCAGGGCGGCTCCTTGCTGCAGGAGCAGAATCGGGCTCGTAGGCCCAGGACGGCTTCTCAGCGCTAGGCTGGCCGTGCCAGGCTGTTTGTCACCGCTCCTCGTGAGCTTCCTCCGGGAGAGTTTTTTAAATCTCATCCGACGCTGTGCGAAGGATGGTGCTTGCTCTCGGTGTGTAGGTGAACCGGGAGTTTGCAGAGGAGCTGCAGCCTGCAGTTTGGCTTGTGGGGGTGCCGCCATTTGCGGTGGAACGGAGTCCCTGGGCAAGAGGTAGGCAGGACAGGCAGCGTGTCGTGAGTGATGGGACAGCCTGGAAATCCCTTGGGACCTGCCTGTGTCCCCTTCCAGTCCAGAGCTAGGACGGACTGAGTTCAGATGGTAGAGAATTCAAGATTTCCTTTTTTGCATCAAAAAACCTCACGTCGCCGAAGTTCACGGTGGCTTTGCCAGAAGCAAGATGGGAGTGAGGAGCAAGGGCACCTTCACGGACAGGAGGGCTTGGGCTTCGTCTCCTTGGTTTTCGGCTGCTTAAAAGTGAGGAGCCTGGTCAGAGCCAGTGCCTGGTGTCCCTTGGGAGTCTCTGTGGGATGGGGACGACCAGAGGTCGGTTCTTCGTCCTGAGCCTTGTGCCTGCCTGGAGATGCGAGCGCTGCCTATGGCAGGATGTATGCTTTGATGGTCATCGTTCCTTTAGCAGCCTTTTTGCCGGCTGTTAAATCTGGAGCTCATTTGCTGAGACATTTGCAGCACGGCTGGTTGTGGTGGTGGCTCTTGGGGAACTGGTCCTGCCCTTTTTGAGGTTTTTCCATCCTTAGGATATGGGAGGAGGATTGTTTTGTTTCCACTTGGATTTTACCATTTGTTTCTACGTGACAGGGAGAACCGCAATCGGCTGACACAGATAATGCTCCTGAAGTCCCTCCTCCAGGTATGAACGTGTCACCGTCCCTGCGGGAGCCCCCATGAGACACGTGGGGTCCCCAGCTGCTGGTGTGGGGGAGCTGAGCTCAGGGGTCCTCTCCCCCAGGGTGGTTTAGGAAGAGCTCAAGCTGTACTGAGCCTTCTCTGCTTGCATCCCCTCTTTCTTGGTGTGTTTTAACCCCCCTCAAGTGACACTGTCACGTTGCCTGCCTTTTTCTTTGATGCTTGCAGGTCTCTGTGGGCTTCCAGTGCAGCAACATGCTCACGGCACTTCCCAGCGCCTTCCTGGACAGGCTGCTCTCCGCAGCCCTCATGGAGGATCCGGAGATCCGCCTCTTTGTCCTGGAGATTCTCATCAGCTTCATCGATCGCCACGGGAACCGGCAGAAGTTCTCCACCATCAGGTATGTCCCAGGGCTTCCCCAACAGGGCTGGGGACCTGCAGAACAGCCTTGGGAGGGAGATCTGCTGGGCTGCGAGCGCTGGCAGGATTAATTAATTAATCCGGTAGCGGTTCTGGGGTGATTTAATGCTGCAGATCAGTGCTCTGCTAAGAGCCAGATGGTGGGGAGCCTCTCTGAGAGGTTGTGCCCAGAGATACGTGGGACGGTGCTGCGATAGACAGTGGTCCCAGGAGGATGCGCAGGAGCAACAACCTCCTCGAGTGGGTTCCTCAACTGCATCGCGTCCCCACGGACCGGCCCGCTGGGCGCTCGCGTTGTCCGTGCTGTGTTACCCTGGAAGAAGGTGACCGTTATCCCGGATGGAAACATTTCCGTGGGTTTTGCTGTTGTCCTGCTGATCCACTTTGCTCGCACGTTTCTCTGTCCGCTTGCCTTTGTGTTCCTGAGCGGCGCGGCCCTGAAATCCTGTAGTGATCTGGCTCAGGGCTCTTGAATATCCATATTGCTCCGATGGGTTTTAAAAGCCACTTTTAGCTTCCCCCCCTCTGTTCCTCCCAGACAGCTCGTTCCTGGCCAGCAGCTCCGCAGGCGTGCGGGAATTGCTCCTCTTCCCTCCGATGTCTGAGTTTTCCCTTCCCCTTGGCTTTTCCTTGCAGCACCATCGGCGACATCTCGGTCCTGAAGCTGAAAGTGGACAAATGCTCGCGCCAAGATACCGTCTTCATGAAGAAGGTAGTGTCGGAGTCTGGGTCAAGCTGTCCTTGTGCAGACCGGTGTGAGGACCTGTTTCCCCAAGCCATGCTGTGTCTTGGGGTACCGTGCTGCCTCCTACACCTGGGGATGTCCCTGGGAAAAGCCAGTGGGATTCAATCTCCGTCAGAGCTTCATGCGTGGGCCTTCCTAGACTCCTAAAACTGCTATTTGCCCCAAGGAATGAGTCTCCCAGGCTGTGCCGGTATCCCAAAAGCTATTTATCGAGTGGCTTTCAAAGTGCTCTGATTTTATTTATTTTTATTCTTCTGCCCCCCACCTCCTTAAAACACTTGCAGGGTGGTGCGAACCCCTCTGGAGCTAACTTGAGGCCAAGAGAGGATCAGTTAGTTGCCTGGCACACACCAGGGCGCAGCAACGCAACCCCGAAACCAAAAACCCTCGTGTGCCCTGCTCTGTCCCACGCCTTGCCGTCAAGCAACGTGTCTCAGGGTTTTATTTCTCTGCTGTGGTCTGAGCCGTGATTTCTGTAACGCTTCCGCAGCAGAGGCATCCTTTCCCTGGGCTCGGTGCTGCGAGTGCTGTTTGCCTGCCCCGGGCTCTGCTCTGGGACCTGCCGCTGCCTCTTCCCCGTCAGGGTCCGGCGTCGTGTGGTGAAACACCACCTGATAGCCCCAGCTCCCTCTCCCTGGGACTTTCTTTGTTTCCTTGGTGTCCGAAGGAGCTCAGCTCCCTCCCGCATGGATGGAGGCCCCTTTACTGGGCCCTGCTGCTTTTCTTTCTCTGCGTTGATGGCAGTGTTGCTCGCAGGGGATGCTCAGGAGGTGACCGCATCCTTCCGTGTCCCCACAGCACGGCCAACAGCTCTACCGGCACATCTACCTGATATGCAAGGAGGAGAGCAATGTGCAGGCTCATTACGAGGCTCTCTACAGCATGCTGATGCTCATCAGCATCGAGTTGGCTAACGAGGAGGTGGTGGTGGACCTCATCCGCCTGGTGCTGGCAGTGCAGGTAGGCAGGGGGGGAGCTGGATGCGCTGCTGTGGGGCGGGCAGGCCGGGGTGCCACGGGAAGGAGCCTCTGGGAAGGGGGTTCATTTGGAGTTGGGGTCTCTGAGGAAGTGGGGTGGAAGTGCTTTACCTGCTCTGAGCTTCTCCCACCGTGGCGGGATCAGACCAACGCGCTGGGGAGAGACCCCAGTTGTCGTGTCAGCCTCTGAAACGCTGCGAACCCAAGCTCCAAAAGTTGGGATGTTTGGAGGGCAGGTGATGCCACGAGGTGGATGGAGACCACGTTTGTCCGTCCTCCTCTCATGGGGCTGTGTCTGTGTTGCAGGAAATCGCCCAGATCAACGAGGATAACTTGACAGCGTACAACCGCTGCGCGCTCTTTGCCCTCGGTGCAGCTTACCTGAACCTCATCAGCCAGCTCACCACCGTGCCCACCTTCTGCCAGCACATCCACGAGGTGCGAGGGAGGTCTGGGGACGGGGGGGGAAGCCCGGTCCGTGGCAGCTCTGACGTCGGCTCTCCTGGCCACCCGTGGGGTTTCAGCTTGGCTCCTTGCTTGTCTTCTGCAGGTGATCCAGATGCGACAGAAGGAAGCTCCCTATCTGCTCCCTGAAGACGTGTTTGTGGAGAGACCCAGGTAAGAGCCTGGAAAATAGCTTCTTCCCCGCTACTTGCTCCTGAGGGATTGGCATCCCTAAGATCGTGGGCGGGAGTGGGTTTCTCAGCCCTTCACTTGCCTGTGCTTGTCTCTGTTCCCATCTGGGGATGTCACAGTGGACATCAAGTGGTTTTCAGCCTGTTGAGAATCTGAGGAGGATCCCATGAAGGGGGTGGTTCTGATCCCTCCCCTTGTCCGGCAGCAGGATGGGTGTAGATCTGGTACGTCATCCCGCTGCCCTGCCGTGCCGCCGGCTCCTGCGTGCTGAGCATCCCCAGGGCAAGGCTGGCCGTGCTGTCCCGCTCCTGCTGGCACAGCCTCGGCACGGCTCACGTTTGGTGGTGAGGTCTCTTACTCTGCCCCCAGAGAGTGCCACCACCGTTCTCCTGAGCCGTTCCCTAGGTCAGGGTTGGTTCTCCCTGAGCGTATCCGTTGTGATGGGTCGAGAGCCATCCGAGAACCTGGCTTTGTGCCGGTGTGCGCAGAAATAGCGTGAGGTATCCGTCCGGCTGTGCTGGAGTGAAGCGAAGCCATGAGAGCCCGTCCCGTCCCGTCCTGCTCTGTGGGCGAGGTTAACTTTTTAATTCTCTGCGCGGTAATCGGGAGTAACGACAATTACTCTAGAGGTTCAAACAAATCACAAATTTACTTGAAACTCAGCAGAACTACAAAAGGTAGCGGCTTGGCAAAAGTTATGACAATACTTAAAACTTAGCGGAACTATGAAAGGTAATGGCTTAGCAAAATGGTACCGGTATTACCCTAATGTCCCAAAAACAAAGTTAGAGACAAAGAGAGTGAGGGAGAGGAGAAGAGAGAGAGAAAGAGAGGGAGGAAAAGAGAAAAGATATCAGCATCCTTGGATCCAGCCATGTTCTCTGCTCGGAGTGGTGGACGTGCTCCGAAAACTTGTGTTTCCCCTTTTTTATAACCCAAAATGCTCCCCATAGGAGGGGGGTCTGTCATCACGGAGCAGGCGCAGTGTGTGCTCAGGAACGTTCCAGAGATGAGTCGGTGGGTTGTGGGCGTCCTGGGGGGTCTCACAGTTACGTCCCCCCCCACACACACACTTTGAGGTTGACGGAGCGATGGCCTGTCACGGGCGCACACGCGCAGGACACAGACGGTCTTTTGTCCGCGTGTTTCCGGCCTAGGGGCAGGGGCTCACCAGCCCGTATCCTGCCTCCGCAGGTTCTGTCCTCGGTGGGGACGGACGGCTGCGACGTTCCCTCGTTATCAGTTCATCCCTGCTTGGGTCAAGACGGATGTTTGTGACATTCACTTGTTATCAGAGCCTAACAGAGCCCTCTGTTTCTGACCCAAACGGACTGGAGACCCTGCTGGCACCATTCCCCGAGCGGCAGACCTGCTGCCATCTCCGTATTTTTTTTTTCTTCCATCCCTACAGATTGAGCAAGAGCCTTGACCGCCTGGGTCCGGAGGTCTTTTTCTGGCAGAGCAAGATCAGCGAGGTGCTGGGCGGCAGCGGTTACAACTCGGACCGGCTCAGCACACCCTACATCCCCCAGCTGACGGGTACGCACCACCCCGGGGCATCCCGGAGAACTGGGAGGGGAGGAAACTGGTCCCTCACTCTGCACAGTTATGGGGGGGTGAGGTTTTTGTCCTACACGTGGGCCGGTTGTTTTTCTACTCTCTGTTGGAGGTGCAGCCTTGGGGAAACTGAGGCACCAAGTGGGTAATCGGGAACTTCTTGGGGTTGCCACCTGCGTGGCTGGCTGGACAGGAGCCGTGAAGCCCGCTGGGCTTGGCTCAGTCCTTCGTTCTGCTGCGGATGAATTGGGGTGAAGGGCTTAGATGGACTGCTCCCCTGGGGATGGGACGTGAGGCCGTGTTCCCTGGGAGCTGCCGGTGCTCACCCGCTGCCCCCGGGCTGGCTGCAATTAGCTCTTCTGCCCTTTCTCTTCCTCCCCAGATGAAGATCGCTTGTCCAAGAGGAAGAGCATTGGCGAGACCATTTCCCTGCAGGTCGAGGTGGAGTCGAGAAACAGCCCCGAGCGAGAGCAGGTACCGCGTTACGCTGCAGAGGCTGCGTCAGCCCTTCGCCACCGCGTGCTTTTAGCAGCCTGACAGCCTGCAGTTAAACTCTCTCTGTTTCTTCATTTGGCCGCACGTGTAATTGCTCCGCGGGCTGCGAGCACAGGGGCCCATAACAGCCCCGGCGCGTCTGGCAGTGAGCAGGGTCAGAAAGACCCCGGCTCCCCCCGATGCCCCTCTCCAGGTGCTGGCAGGTCCCAGGTGTATTTCTTCATTTTCTCCGTGTGCATATTTCATTTTCCCTGTGTGCATATTTATTTTCCCTGTGTGCACATTTCTTAGCTATGGAAGCCTTGGGGGAAGCGTAAGGACTAGCTAGTCCAACCTGAAGAAACATTTTAAAAAGTGCAGTTTTCCAGGAAAGATATCCCTGATTTTTTAAGGACAGACTGTGTTTTGGTGCAAACATACAGCCTGGGACACTGGTTCTGGGTTGCTGCGATCCCAGAACGGTGTCCTGTGCTGCGCGGTGAGCCTCGTCTGCTTTTCCCCTCCCTTTAGAGAGCACCAGCGGAAGAGATCACGTACGAGACGCTGAAGAAGGCGATAGGTAAGCGAGGGAAGCCGGCCGTGGTGGGGAGAGGTGGAGGCTGGCGTGGGGTGCGTGTAGGAGTGCTGTCACCCCCGCGTCCGTGTGTGCGCACCCCGGATGGATGGATTCCCAGCGCCTCGCCGTGGCGGCATGGCACCCAGGTCACAGGACAACCGGGCAGCTTCACAGCTCTGCCCAGCCCTGGGAGTGTCCCGGGGGGGCTGGTCAAAAACCAGATGCTGGAGAGCCGTTCCTTGGCTTTCTAGTGACGCCCAAATCCCTGCTGTCTGCTGGGGAGGTGGGGATGTGGCACGGGGTGGTCTCCGCGGGTGGGGAGCAGCTGAGAGCCATCTCCCCTTTGCTTCAGTAGACAGTGTCGCCGTGGAGGAGCAGGAGCGGGAGCGGAGGCGGCAAGTGGTGGAGAAATTTCAGAAAGCCCCGTTCGAGGAGATCGCCGCCCACTGCGGCGCCCGGGTGAGTTGGGGCTGCGGCACGCCGAATCCCCACGGCTGCTCTGCTGCAGAGAGGTGAACGGTGACGATGCGGCTCTGAATTTGGCCAGGGCGCTTTCCCCTGCTCTGGTTCCTGGGGTGTTTGTCCCGTTTGCACCGCTGTGGTCCCCGGGTACAGCCTCGCTGATCCGGCCTCTGTGTCTGTGTTACAGGCGACGCTGCTGCAGAGCAAGCTCAACCAGATCTTCGAGATCACCATACGGTGAGTCCGGGCGACGCCGTGCCAAGCGTGGGGTGCCTGACCGCGAGGCCGGTGCTTGTCTGTGGGGCAATGGGAGCCGTGTACGTCCCCCATCGAGGAGGCCCGTGTGCTGGGGATGGGCGCCAGCCTGGCCTTTGCAATGGCAGCAGGGACCAGGGTTGCTGGGAGCAGGCTCTGGTTTATCTGCGCCGGTTCCCCTCTGCCGCGGTGGCACTGGGGAGCAC